CGGCTGTCAGCCCTGTCATAGTTTGACACAATTTGGCATAGTTTGCCATTTTTTGGCATAATTTGCCATTTTTTGGCATAATTTGGCAAAATTTGCCATTTTTTGACAAAATTTGCAACTTTTTGGCGAATTATGTCAAAAAGTGGCAAATTTTGACAAATTTTGACGAATTATGTCAAAAAATGACAAAAAATGACAAATTATGTCAAAAAATGACAAACTATGACAAGCTAGGATAGACGAAAGAAGAGCAAAAAAGCGGCGAAAGGTGACGAGTCAGACGGAGGCCAGCCAGAATTCTGGAGAACGCAGCGCCGACATGATGACGAGAGAGGCCCACGAAGACCCACGAGCGAAGGCCCCACGCCGAGGGACTCAGCCCACGACGCCGCCCGCGCCGGTGCCGTCGACTAAAGCAAGGAAGCCGAGGACCCACCGCGGCCGTGGCTGTAAGGCACAAGGATCGCCGTAGCACAAAGATCGCCCATTTTGAATAATAGCCCGCGCCCATTCTCTGTGTGAGGGGTGGGACAGGTCAGCCCACGGGGATGAGAGTGGCGCCATTCGTCGCGCTACCTCTGAGACTTTGTCAGAAGCGTGACGCCTGTGCATGCGACTGGACGCCAAGCATATGCGACAACAGAGAAACGAGAGGCGTCAGATTGCGCGTCGCCAATAAGTAGAATAATGAGAGGCGCCAGATGATATGAGAAACTAAGCGGAGCCGGCTGGTCGGCCCTCCTTCGTGATGTTGGTTCATTTCTGGACTTCCTGGGTCACGCTTCTTGCTTTTGACCATCACAGTGAGACCAGTAGGACAAGCCTGCGCTTTCTCTCTCTCGTCTGTGTTAAGGTGTAGCCGAGTACATGCAAAGGGCCTGTCCGCTGCATCTAAACACAAACACAAGACCAACCAAATGAGGCCAACAGGCTCTAGATAAGCATCGAGATGCGTTAAGCTAGTGGCGTGTAGCTGTAGCACATGCAGAGCGTGACTGCACTCCCGTGCTAAGGTGATGGAGATACTCTTCAGGCTACTGCTGTAGTACTACATCTAAACACAAGACACCCAACCAGGCAAGTCCTAAATACCCACCACCAGCCGCCAACATTCTCCACCAGTTGTAGGCAAATACTAGCGACAAAATTGGTTCGCTACGAGTCAATATGTCGCCGGCCTTCCTCCATCCACAGACAAAGAAAAAGCAAACACGTGACCGCATCCACTTAGTGGCACTATGGGCACCTACCTAGCGCAAAGGGATCGCGCGCCCATCCTATTCCCGCAACATTGACGCGATCGCGTTGGAATTTCTTACGGCTCACGCTTCCATCCTATTCCAGCAAGGACAGACACCTTCACGCTGGAACTTTTTACGGATCGCACACGCACCCCATTCCAGCACTGACCTAGCGCAAAGGGATATGGCTCGCGCCTCCATCCTATTCCAGCAAGAACAGACATTAGCACGCTGAAACTTTTACGGATCACACATAGAAACTCTGACGGATTTGCGGACCGCACTGACATGACCCCACTCCAGCATTGACAGGCCCCCACTCTCACGCTGAATTTCTTCACCATTCCAGCACTGACGGACTTCCATTCTCACACTGAAACTACTGCACCAGTCCAGCACCGACGGACTTCCATTCTCACACTGAATCCCTTCCCCGTCACCTTTGAACATTGGGCGCCATCTATCAGCACCACACAGCCAGAACTTAGCACTGCTTCACACTTCCAAGGCTTGCAACACTTCACAAACACAGGCAGCGGCTGAAAGCTGATAGACTTTGCCTGACACGACCGAAAGAGCATCGGCATAATCTCGGACCGAGCACGCCCGTGTATTGGGATTCATTTTTATGCACGTGGGGGCTTGCATTCGCACGAATATGGTCCGGCGGTGTCTATTCCCATGAGATGAAGATAAGCAAACAGCTCGCACGCAAATGAAGAACGTGCGGCCCCCTACCAAGCCGGTGGCTGGTTGGGTCACCTTCTGGGCGCAAGAACCGCAACACACGCGCGGGGAAAGGCACACGCAAAGCGATGCCGGCCCCGCGTTTGACGGGGACACCGCCACGAGTGTCAACCCTGACCCCGCCGGGGCGCCCGGGCGTGTTTATCAAGCGCCGCACGCCAAAGCCCCGAAATGTGTGCCCCATGGTGAACCCTGGCACGACCCGCAGCGCACGGGGATACTTTCAAAGCGATGCCCAGCGGTGGACACCAGTGCCAACCCTGGCTCCACCGCTGGGGTGCCCGGGCGTGTTC